AGTGTTGTCAAATTTCAGCAAATGAAATGTTATTTTGCTGTCAGCCTGCAGAAAGAACAGATGTATTTGCATGGGAGAAGTGCAGGACCCCGGCCCAGCCCAGAGCCTCCTCCTCCTCCCAGCTGTGCCCTGCCCCACCCTCCAAGCCCCTCAAAGCTGGCCAGATGCAGCCCTGCGAGGTAGTGCCCCGGGGGGGTCAGGGTCAGGGCTCCGGCCCAGCCGGAATCCATCTCCACAGCCACCTGGCGCTCTCTCCGTGGGCTGGCACCAGGCGTCCCGGGGAAGTTGGTCCTGGGAGATGTGGATGACATGGGGCTAAGAGCGCAGCCGCTGGACCCTGCCCACCTGGGATGAGTCAGGTCCCTCCTAGGAGCCCCAGATGGTGCCCAGTTACCACCCCGTTCCATGGAGCCCGTGTGAACAGCAACCCTAGCTTCAGCAGCGCAGGCCTCCCGGGATTTACCCAGCCTCGCTGTGACTCAGTGGTCCCACCTGAGAAATGGGCATGACCACACCCACTTTCCAGGTTGCCATGACAACTGAATGCAAGAAAGCCTGACCTGGTAACAGACATCCCAATGACGCCCTCTCTCCCAGGTGTCTCCACTCCCGGCTGTGAACACCTTTGTCTCCAGGAGAGGGTCCCTTTGTCCCCTCCACTGCTGCTCCAGGGCTGGGTCCCATGCACCCCATGTGGTTCAGTGTGGCCCCACTCGGCTCATGGCCCCAGATGCCACACCACAGAGCCCAGGGAGGGTGTCTGGTCTCAGAGCCCCAGGGCAGCCCTGGGCAGGACCCATGCGCCCCCTCAGCTTCCCAGTGGGGCCGGGTCTTCATCCCTTTTCCTCCCTCCCTCCACCTCGGGCTCCCTCCCACTGTGACACGGCTCTCAGGTCTGCCTCTGGGATGCCCAGCCCAAGCCTATGGCCTCGAGGGCTGGAGGGGAGGAGGCAGAGCCCCGTGGACCCTGCACTCCACAGGCAAGGACATCGGGGACCAGGGACACCCCAGAGACCTCTGTGCTCCTGGCTGCAGCGCCTGTGTGGGCTGAGGGCTACATCTCTGCCCACCACAGCAACCAGGCGGTGTCCCCTAGCTGTGCAGATGCCGAGGCCTCAAGGAGCCGGCCCCTCTCAGCCTGCTCTTCCCGTAGGGGACACGGGGCCCAGCCGAGGTCTTGGGTGCTGCAAATGCCAGCCCTTCCCCAAGTGTCACCAGGGAACCAGTGGGTCACTACTGGACCCTCTCCGGGCGCACTCGGGGTGACTGGGCCCAGGCGTGCTTCGTCCCCACTGCCACACACCAGCCCACACTGGGCACTGGACAGGAAAGGGTGGCCGAGCAGGATGTGCAGGGGCGCAGGCTGGGTGGGCAGTGGGCTCAGTTCTGGGGTCAGCATCCGTTCTCCTCGAAGCTGCTTCGGTTTCTCTTTCCCGGGTATTTTCCGTCCTCTCCTCCCCGGGCTGGCCTCGAGGCATGGCTGTGATTTGTGCACGCTGACACTGAACCCACACTGGAACTGTTTTGTGCCCCAGCACCCTCTTACAAGCCACCCGCACAAAAACAAGTGCCCGCCTGTCTTGAGACTACAACAAAACGAGAAATGATTTTTTTTATTTTGCTATTTTGTAATATTTTTATCAGTCAATGTCTGCAGTACATAATGACTGCATTCACCTGGGGAGCTGGTCTGTGCACTAATGCATCCTAACCCACCTCTTTTTAAATTTCATTTTGACACAGGGCCTCGCTGTGTTCCTAAGCTAGGCTCAAACTCCTACCTCAGCCTTCGTATTATTTTTTAAATGTCTTTTTAAAAACAAAACAGTAAATCATTTGTGATGCCTTCAAGAATACCGCGGTGATAGAAGATGCCCTGCTCCCGCAATGAGGCCTGTCCAGCGTCGAGGGCTGCTTTCTCCTGAAACTGAAGGTCTGGTCACTGCCAGCCTGGGTTTCCCGAGCTCTGCTACCCCCTGCCGGGAGATGACAATACTGCAGCAAATTGTAGGCTCTGAACAGAACTGTCCCAGAACCGCGGTTACTAGGGTTTCCTCAGCGAGGGGAGGAAACAGGGTCTTCTCACACCTCGTGAATTAAGGCCAAAGAGCAGTCTGCCTCCCGGAAGGAGGGCGGGGTGGGGAGGGAAGGGGTGAAGGAGAATTAAGACGTGTTCTGTCCATGCGTCCGCTCCCCGCAAGGAATGTGATCATTAAATACTGCAAACGTGGACTAATGAAAATTAGAATTTTTAATTTTAATTATTTGCTTAAAAACATGCCTGCTTTCTTTGTGCTTGGAAGTTCCTGCACAACTCATTCACCATGCAGAAATGACCATCCGCAGTGCTTCAGCGCCCCCTGGGCAGCTCCTCAGGCCCAGAGGCCAAGGGGCCCAGCGTGGGGGAAGCGCAGGGCCAGGTGGACAGAAAGCCCACGCCCCCCGGGCAGCGCCGCCTGCATGCAGGGCACTGGGCAGGTGGGGCACAGGCAACAGCGGAGGGAGCTGCTGTGTAGCCGTCAGCTGAGCCCAGCGCCCTTGGCCGGGCCCTGGGCCCGGACACTCGGCTCCTTGCGAAAAAGGTAACTGCAGCCCTGAGTGAGCGGACACCCCAGGCACGCCAGTGACCAGGCCGAGAGCTCAGCCCACAGGAAGCGCCCAGCTGAGCGCCCATCAAGCAGTGCCCCAGGTGCTGGACGCCGCGCTCAGCCACAGAGTGCTCAACGGACAAGGCAGTTTTGCCTTTGCCTGGATGTGGATGCACCGAGATTAATTCGTGATCTCCCTATTATCTGCCACCCGCTTAGGGCCCGGCCCTCGCTGAGCTGCACCCTCCTTTTGAGCAGCGCCTCGACAAAGTTCGAGCGCCCCTGGAAACCAGTGGATTTTCTTCTTGCCTTTTACTCCACTCGCCCCCGACCTGTCAGTATGGGACTTCGTGGTGAGGAAACACCACGCTCAGAAAAAAGAGGGTCCAGGGCCGGGGATGTAGCTCAGTGGTTCCGCTGCCTGCCTCGCAAGCGCAAGGACCCGAGTTTGATCCCCGGTACCAAAAAAAAAAAAAAAGAAAGAAAAAAGAGGGTCCAGTTCTCAGAACCGTCCGCAGGGCCTGAATGCCAGCGTCTGTGGAGGAAGCTCGGGTCAGCGCAACCGCTGTCTCCTGCGCCCGCGAGCCTGGCACTGGCCTGGATTCCTCGGGCTTCCCTGCCTCGCGGGGGCGGGACTGTATCGCTCGCCTGCGACCAGCAAGCAGGAAGCCGTGAGCACCCTCCGGGCCAGCAGCAGGGTGGCCACCCAGCCCAAGCACGCGCTGCCAGCCCATCATCCCACAGCGCCAGTGACTGGGCACAGCGGCAGCCAGAGGCCTCATGCCTACAGGGCGCCTCCAGCGCTGGCCTGGCCAGCTGAAGGACAACTGGCTCCCATGGAGACGGAGCTTTCTCCCTTCGACCCCACGTCCACGGGCCAGTTCCCATACCCCTAAGCTCTTCCCCGTTTTATCACCGATCACTGCCACGCTGGGGTCAGAGGAGTTCCCTGGATGAGGACTTCCACATTCTAAGGTCCACATGAATCACAGGGATCTTTGGAAGATGCAGTTTCTCAGCTGGGCATGGTGGTACCGGCTATAATTTCAGCACTCGGGAGGCTGAGGCAGGGAGATCCCAAGTTTGAGCCCAACCCAGGCAACTCAGTTGTCTCGAAATTTCGAAAAATGAAAATTTAGAAAGGCCTGGGGGAGCAGCCCAGTACAAAGATGCCGGGTTCCATCCCCAGGACGTAAAATGAAATTGGGCTCCTCGTCGGTAGGGCAGGGTAGACCCTTCACGCTCCTCCACAGTTCGGCACGGCAGCAGCCTGACCTCGGCCACACTGCCAGCGGCAGTGAGCGAGCGCTTGGCACTGGACCCACCTCTCCTGGGGCACCGCCTCAGTGCCAAGCGACCCTGCCCTGGACCTGCACAGCTGATTTCCTCACCTGGGTCTGCCTGGCCCCAGGCAGCGCCGAAGCTGCTGCTGTCTTCCCAGCCAATGCCACGCGGACTCCACCGTCCGGTCCCGAGCTCCGGCCGTCTCTCACTGGTGAATTCAGGCCGACGACGCAGGCCGCGCCTCCCAGCCCCGCTCCTGCAGCTTGTCTTTCTCCCTGGCGCACTCTCCGGTGGCTGCAGCCTGGCCCTCCCCCCCACACACCCCCACCCGGCCGGGGCGCCTGCGTTTGCACCCGGAAGTAAGTAAAACCCTCCTCGAAGCAGCGTGAGTCAGACTAGTAGATGAAGTATTTATCTCCGTAGTTTCCAACATCTACAAGTGAACCGCTAAAAGTCAAGTCTGAGCCGGCTCTTCTAAAATGTCACCGATGGGCTATGACCTTGCCCCCGCCCATGGCTCCTGCCCCGCACGGCCGCACCCTCAGCCTCCTTCCCAACCCAGCTTCCGTGCGGCCCTGAGGTGGGAGAGGGTCTCTGTGCCCCCAGCACCCCACTGAGAGAGCGGCCCTCGGGAGCTGGACCCGCCTGGGGGGGGGTCTCCGTGTGCTCAGCGGGGTTTCTGGTCCTCCTGAGCCGCAACCGCTCTGGTTCTGGGCCCGTGGGTCTCCGTGGAGGGCGCTGGCCACAGCTGGGCCTGGGGAGGTGAGGGACGCCGCTCCTGCCCAACCCCAGGACGCCCGGGGCCTGCTGTTCTTTGGGCCACTTTAACCTCATCAGATTCAGGAGCGGCTGGAAACCGAAGAGCCAAACAATTGAACCTACACAGCTGCAATGATCTTTTCCGGTTTCTTATTTTATCAAGAAAAACATTTAGTTTTTTTTGGTACCAGGGATCAAACTCAGGACCTTGTGCTTGCGAGGCAGGCGTAGTGCCACTGAGCTAAATCCCCGGCCCCATTCTCTGGTTTTTTAACGTTAAGCTCCCTTGCTTGGTAAAGAACCCAAAGACTATTAAAATGGCACAACCAGGAAGAATGCAGTGCGGCAACAACAGAGTAACACGTGGTCTGCAGGACTTCAGATAGTTTTATTCATCGGTGGGACTTGATGCTCGCAGGGCACCGTACAACAAGTTTAAAAAACACAATATGAAAAAAATGAACAGCCAAAGAGATTAATTCCATCAGAGGGCAACGGCCCACAGAAAAACCAACAAAAGCCTACAGAAAAACCCACCCTCTGTCCCCATAAGAACATTTAATTTCTCTCTGCTTAAGTTTGGCTTTTAAGAAACATCAAAACAAAGTGCAAAAGAAAAGGTCTTTGAGAGTTAGAGCTTCGCATAGCCTCTTGCACCTACATCACAAAATGCTTCCCAGTCCGGTAAGGAGCACTCCGAGTAACCCAGCCTTTGGGGCCGCTGGTCCCGTTTTTAGGTCACAGCCTTCAATGTTATCCTCTCTACCCTCGAGCATGAGCCTCAGCACTAAGATATTCAGGGGCAGGGCCAGCTTCCTATTCCTACAGCCCGGGCCCAGCTACCTGTACCTATGTAAATACCTGGACTGGAAAGGTAATTAAGATTTCCCAAGGGTGGCTAAAACGCAGGCTTCGGCTTTGGCATCTAACTATACTCAATTCTCTTGATGAATGACTGAAGGTCACTGAAATCCACCACAGACAGCAAGATTTAATGCTGCACTGGGAGGGAGACAACTGCCCGAGAACTTCTAGGAACAGGAGGGGGGTTTGGAATCTGTTTGACTTGACTACACGATGACACACTGTGAGAAAGCTGCATCCCCTAGAGAAAAATAAAGTGGTACAGACCCGCCTAGGAACTGCCAACGCGCACCCATTCCGTAAAGCCAAATACAAGCCGCCACTCCTAGCGGGGGCTTCCCAAGCAGGGCTGTGGGTCCCTGGAAGCACAAACCCTCTCCCTCCCCACACGGTTTTTACCAACAGCGCAGGCAGGCAGACATGGACACCAGTTTCCTCCCCTTTACACCACTGTCATGAGGAGACAGAACCACCATGGGCGGGCCGTCAAAGGTCTAAAACCAAGAAACTTGGGCCATAAAATGAAATGAGGAAAATCTGAGAATATACTTGAAACATTTGCCAAAAACAATGAAGCCACACTGCCTGGTTCCTGTGGGCGTCGGCTGCACATGCAGGTGGGGCTGTCCCCTCCCACTGGGCCTGAGACCTCCAGCTGCTACCACCCCTGGGTGGCCATGGAGCCCAGTCTCCCCAGTTTCTGCCACCTGTGGGCCCAGGGGAAAGGGCCTCACCATGTCCAGCACAGTGGCTGGAGGCAACAGGCCCTTCCTGAAGGCATAGGTGAGCAGGGCTCAATGAAGACGGAGCCAAAGGCTGCCTCGCTTGGGCAGGAAGGATTTCGACTGGAACAGCTCCCTGCTTCCCAAACAGACCGGTCCGGGTTTGGCCAACTCCAGTCACTTCCTCCTAACACTGGGAGAAGCATTTTGGAGACAGGTGGAAGGTGCTAGGCGAGTGCAGTCCACAGCACTCAGACAGTTTCGCCAAGGAGCCCAGGGCTGGCTCAATAGCGGGCCGCCCAGAGTCACTGCTCGTCATCACCAACAGGACAACGCAATTTGACAAAAATGCCACCACTGTATGCAGCTCGTATGCTGCCAACTACTTTCCATAAACCAGGTGACAGAACGAATTAAGCCACTTTTTCTACACAAACCAATACTTTTATCAAAGCTCCGCATTTTACAATTCATGTTCAAAAAACACACACAAATTAGCATTTTGTACACAAATGTTTATTTCTCAATTAAACATTCCCTTTAAATACAAGGAATGAATTCTAAATCTTCATAAAGATGAATTAAAAATGAAATCCCTCCAGTATAGTACGTGTAATCATTGTGTTCTTGGTCGCTACTGGCATTTATTGTTTAACATCAGAAACAAAGACAGGTTATTTAAAAATCATGCTACTGGATTTCTAGTTCTTCCTCTAGGACCAGCTCTATACTGATCTGCAACGTTTAAAATTGTATATCACCAAATTGAAGCGAGTTTAAGGGTGAAACAGCTGTGCATGGGGCCCTACAAGATGTAGTCGAGTTCGTAGCGGATGTAGGTGTTCTTGTCGTCGTTGTAGATGCGGGGGTAGTGGGCGATGAGCGCGTCCTGGGAGCCGATGTAGATGGAGTTGTAGATCTTCCAGTACACATCCCGGACCTTCCGAGCCGGATGAAACAGACCCTGCAATAACCAGTGTGTCCATGATCTCAATGTTCCAGCACATACATGACCTCAAGACAACGAGCAGACCATAAAGACATAATCAAATACTTCCCTCTAAACCAAGAAAAAGAAGTTTAGCAAATGCACAAGAGCACAATGAGAAGGCGAATGAGCCCCGTACCGCCCAGCCCCCCACGGGACAGTCTGGCCCCCGACAGTGGGGACCAGGCCACAACCCTCCTCCCACGCCTCCTCACGCACCTGCAGGCAGTACTGCAGCATCCTGCATGGCCCGATGGCGACCCGGAGCCCCTCCAGCGCACCCATGACCGCCTGGATCACGTGGGGCGATGTCTCGAACACGTTGGGCCACACGTAGTTCAGCAGGTGATTCAGAGAATCCTCACAGCCAAAGCCATACACGCCCAGCGACATGTGCTGCACCACCGCACTGGCCGTCTGCCTGTGCACAAGGTCCCTGCAAAGAGGGGAGATGCCTTTGCTGCTGCAGCTGCTGTATGAGAAACACCCCTGCCTCTAGGAAGCACGCTGCTCACTCGGGTACGGGCCCTGGGACCCACCCTGGCACTGTGTGCCAAGTTCACCCTTAGATGACTAGGGTCCACGCCAGACCTTCTGCTTGGCTGACCCAAGCCTAAGGCTCAAAATAAGCTGTTTTCTAATTAACCTTCAAAAAGATGAACAAGAGCCCTGCACATTTTTTGGATTAATACACTACCAAAAGCTGGGTGTCATGGCGCACCCCAATAATTCCAGCACTCAGGAGGATGAGGCAGGAGGACCATTGAGAGTTGAGGACCAGCCTGAACTACACAGCAAGACCCTGTCTCAAAAAGCAACAAAAAAGCAAGCAACCAAAGAGGTCCATGTGACTCTTACAGATGAAGGTTCACAACACCTTACCTGAAACGCTATAAACTTGAAATCTTTTTTTGGTACTGGGGATCGAACTCAGCACCTTCCTTGCACTTGCCAGGCAGGCGCGATGCCACTGCTACATCCCCACTACTGTCTTTCATTGCAGTTCAGATACTAGCATACAATAAACAACTAAAAATTAAACCTCCTCTAGTGTAAATACAAAACTCCATTCAGAAACTTGATTCAGAGAGGAAAATCGATGAATTTTTTTCAAACCTACAGAAACAAAAACTCACCTCCTGTGTTACTGAACTTCTGTTGGTGCCCATCAATGAGTTACCAATCCCACGTTATTCTGAGGATGAGCACGGTACAACATTGGGGTGTGTAGTAGACAAAACGAGTCCGCACACGCCACCCTACAGTCAGTGGGAACAGCTCAGGGATGAGAAGAGCTCAGGGCCCACTAGCACCTGCACCTCCATCTGGTTCTCTCCGGGTACTGGGACGGCACCAGGGCAGCGGCCTCCCTCTGCACCATCGTGAAGCGGTATTTCTCACTGCACTGTCTCTCATGCTGTGATTCTGACAGTTACCCCTCAGCTTTCAGTACACCAAGCATCATCTGTGACCACAGGTCCCAGCATCGATGAACTGAAAGGCAGAGACCACCATGGGGACACAGGACAAACCCACCCCTCAGGCTCAGCCTGCTGCTCACAGGCCTACGGAGGCCAACGGGCAATGAAATGCAAAACAAAGCATGACCTTCAGTTCGTTGCCTGTTCTCCTTTATTCCCTACAGCCCTGGGTCCAATCTCTGCTCCGCAGCACACACCGGCACACACCGCCTGTGGCCATTCAGCCATTCAGAGTGGTGACAGAAGGTGGCTTAGCCCTAAACTGACTAACCTATCCACTCACCTTGAGACCCAGACCCAAGATGAGAGTGCTGCAGGGACCTTCGGCTCCCAAGGAGCACCGCAAGTCTCCAGTTACCGCCCTACACCTGCGGTCCCCAAAGCTGAGGCTGCCCAGGCAGACAGTTAGCTCCTGGTGGTCAAAGTGAAAAGGATGTCTCCAGAGCCATCTTGCAAAACCAGAACCAAAGTAAGGGCCCCAGGCCCCAGCCCACCCCAGCCACCGCTCAGAGCTTTTTCCACCGGGCCAGTCTGGTCTCCTTCACAGAGCCGAGCCCCTTATGTTCCCTGGCCCAGAGCCCATCCCTAACTGCCCGGTCACTGGCCTGTCCCCCACTGCCATGCCCTGAAGCACTCTTCTGCGACATGGGGAACCTGCCTGGGCGGGGACACCACTCAGGAGCACAGGAGCACCACACTGGCCCACGCTCCTCACCGAGAGATGTGCAGCAAGGTGCCTAGCTGCCTGGCCTGCACCCTGCCCTTCCCTGTCCCCCATGCCTGGGCACTCAGGAGCTCATGCTGTGTGTCTGTCCTCAAGGCAAAGGCAGGGACTCTGTCATGAAACTTGAGCAGCGCGGTGTCAGTGGTCACCATCTGAGCCACCAGGGCCTGGGACAGGAGCAGGATGGCTCTGCTGGACCATGCTCAGCAGTTCATGCTTTAAGGGAAATTTTGGCTTCACTTGCAGTAAGGGCTACAAGATCAGGACCACCAAGTACCTCATGCTCTAGTTACATCTGACTAATTTAAAGGAAAAGTCCATGGTTACTGCTTTCCAAATGTATTCTGAAACACTGCCAAGCAGGTGTGAACAGGGATTAAAACTGGAGGGAAAACTTGGAAGAGAAAACTACAACATCCATATTAAGACGTCATATCTACAGTTTTGTAAAAATCCAGGTTACTACCTTCTCTTCATTTGGGGGGTGAGGGGCGGCAGGGGATAGGGCCTCACAATGTAGTCCAGGCTGGCCTTAAACTACATAGCCCAGGATGGCTTCAAACTCAGAAAGATCCTCCTGCCTCAGCCTCCGGAGTGCTGGGATTAAAGGCATGCGCCACGCCTAAGAATTCTCTCTCTTCTAACAACATCACAACAAATAGGTCATCCGATAATTACTTTAATAAGTTCTAAAGTGAAAAAAGAATTATTTCCTTGCATTTAGCTCAAGTCACTTACCTATCCATTAAAGCATCTTCCAGTAACGGCGTCACGGCGTAAATGTAGTCTTTGCCCATTTCACCAATATATTCGAACAAGAAGGACAGAGACTTCAGCACCCCGTTCTGAACATTCAGCTCAGGAACTCTGTACTCGTTCATGAGGGCGGGGAGCACTGTGAAGGGGGAGCAGGTCTCGGCGACAATAGCTATGGCCACCGTCGTGCACACTCTGTTCTGCCTCTCCTGAACCTTGAGGTTGTTTAGGAGCGTGGCCAAGACATCGTGAGGGCTGGAAAGAAAAGAGTGTCGCAAACTATTCCATTCCAACTCACAGCTCTTTCAGGGGAAGCTTAAACATGGAAAGGAGTCTGGTAAATAATCACTAGGAACTCGGTAATTTTATGAAAAAAATGCAGTATTTTCAAGTCAGTAGCATTATTCAGTTTTAAAGACAAATGTGGATTAATTTTCAAATGTCATTTTCCGTCTTTAAATGTCCTAAACATTTAAGGCACCAAGTACACGTGTAAGGTAACTGTCTGGGAGGTCAGAAAAGACACTAAAGCTGACAAGATCAAGGGGCAGAGCAGCCAGAGCTCCAGCGTCAAGCGCAGGGCCCTGTCCCTCCCTCCACGCACAGCCCAGGAGGACACCGGGCAGCAGGCAGCTAGGTCCGCTGCTAACTTCATCATCCCAGCACCACTGAAACAAAAACAACTGTTAAAACACAGAAGAAAGAAGACTGCCTGTGTCTTGTGCGGTGGGGAGCTCTACCCAATTAATCTGACTTCTATTTCTTAGAAATATTTTCTCAAGTGACTAAGCTACACACATGTACAATGTCTCGTTTTCTGCATCACTATTCCACCTAGTTTGGTTCTGACAGAGAAGCAAATAAGCACAGATTATCTCATAAAGCTGTAATTGATTTAAATTTATGGACTAATCATAAAATGACTTTTTTTTTTCTTTTTTTTGAGGCAGGGTCTTTCTTTGTAGTTCAGGCAGGTCCTGAACTCACTATGTAGCCCAGGCTGGCCTCGAACTCCCAGTGATCCTCCTGCCTTAGCCTCCGGCGTGCTGGGATTACAGGTGTGCACCACCACCCCCGACTGAAAATGACTTTTAAAAAACACACAACAGGGCCAGGGATTTAGCTCAGTGGCATCGCTCCTGCCCCACAAGCGCAAAGTCTGGAGTTCAATACCGCAAAACAAACAAAACCAAACTAAAACAAACAAACAAAAAACCAGAACATCCTAATATGAGATACAAATTATGCTGTGATATTAAAAAACTGCCTTAATATTTTAAACAACAGCCTATAAGGACCAAAATTTTGAAGTTATTCAGAAAATGGGACTGTTTCCCTCCCTGAAAATGTGCAAAGTTGACTAATGGAAATTTTAAAGCCTTCCAAGTATTCTAATTAAATTTTTTAAATACTTTAAAATGTGTGAGGTCAATAGCTAAATGAAGCACTTTCTCAACTGCATTAATCATACTATGCGCCTCAGGAGATTTCTACATAAAAGTGATTCTCAAAACCACGAGGCTACTGCAACATAATAAAGAGGGGAAATACTCACCCAATGGCCTTTGCGATATAGCCAAATGTGTTGACCGTGGCTCTACGAATAGCTTTTTTGTGAGCTTTTAGGAGCTCTAAAAGCTCAAAGCAAATCCTCATCCACTCTCTTGCAGAAACATATTCAGCTCCCCTAATTGAAGAAATATGTATTTTTGTGATGTCACGGTTTTTGTACAAACCCGGGGCCGCTCACACATGCCAAGCGCTCTACCACTGACTCATATCTCTAGGCCCTCCAGAGATTTCAAAGGGTAAATGTGCAAATTCAGTTCCAAAAATATGACTATTAATTCATGCTAAACATTAAACAAGTTATTACTACTCCTCAAAAGGGTTGATGTAGTCAAAACTATACTGCCACTTCCCACTGCTGACTGAGCTGAAATGACTAAACCTATCAACACTGGATTCCCTGAATGGATACACAGTATTAGCAACACAGCAAATTTTGCTACCTCCATACAAACTGACTAAATGTGAGCCTTCATAAAAATGGTTAGGCCGCCTGCTTACCTGTCAGCAATACGTCCAACAAGGTCGATGCAGTTCTCTTGCACTTTCTCATGCCTGTTCTTCAAGATGGGAGTGAGCCTGGGCAGCAGATCCTTAATTGGCGGGGTCATCTTGTGCATACCTATATAAGAGAAGTCAGCCCTGCAGTCAGCACTGGACAGCAACCTCCACATGCTCATTCTGCCTTTTACTCCGTAACAAAATGTGACTAGGCACAGATAGAAACTTACAGCTGCCTAAGGAAAGAGAAAGCCCCAGATTCTGACTAGACTCAGAACTTTTTTTAACTTTTTATTAAAAATTTCTGATTATGCATAAAAATGAAAGAAATCAGTGAAGTGATTTAAAGAATGATGGGTACTCAGTAACAAAAAAAAGGTTTTCTTTGGTTCTGAAATGTACTTGTACACTAACATGTAATTATGGGGACAGCTTATGTTCCGGCCATACACAACAATGTAAGCCAGAGGTAGACATGTAAATTAAAGCAAAATTGTCCAGAAAGGGCCCCCTTACCCTTTAACTGCAAAACATACAGAGCTCCAGTCTCCCTGCAATGCAGGGCATACTTGGATGGGATTTACACCTACGAAGAGAGAAGAAAGGAGGCAGCTGGCAGAGGCTCTTGCTCTAACTAGAAGTGCTCGCTCTGCTCTCTCGAGGGCTTTTCCTGTGTTTCCCTGCAAACAGCCTGGCTCACAACTTCCTGCAAAGCAGTGCCCCAAGAGTGGCCAACTAACTAATTCTGGAAAGTTGCTACCATTCTAGTAGACACGACTGGGCTGAATTGGGAATTGTATGTAAATGCAACCAAAGATCCATATACATTACATAAATGCTCCTTACTATAAATAAAGTAAGAAAAACAGTAGCTACCACAACTGGCTATTTTGACCTCTTGTGAGGGTTTCTTCTGACCAAGGAGTTACTTCAGATAGCACTTATGCTCAATTACAGTGAGATTAAATACAAGAAATCATCTCTTTGCTTTGCATATCATAATCTACATTTTCATACTTCCCTAAAACAAAAAGCTTTGTTCTCCAGATCCAAAATTATTTATAATATACTTTTATTTTTACTTTGGGTTAGAAAACTGGACAGGTTTAAAGACTTGGATATAAAAAGACCAGATAATGACTTTATCAATACACTTTTCTTCCTAATTATATTCCTAGAACAGCAATTAAAAAAATCTGTGGAATAAGTATCTGCAATTTCATTCTAAAACTAAATGAAAGCTCCAGGGCCTGCCTCCCCCAAGAACATGATAGAACATTCCTCAGCAGATTCACTCCTTCCATGAGTCCCTCTCCCATGACGTCAAAGCTCTGAACTGTGACTGCCTCCTTACCTCTCACAGCTCCCAAACATGCCCCTTTTTTCTGTAAAGTATAAGACGGGTTTAAGAATGTATGATTTTTGTGGCTGCTTCTGACTTAACTACAATCCTGAAGTGCTTTTTTACAAAGGTAATAAAAATCACCCAACTCCTAAATATAATTCTATATTTTACTTTCAAAAATACAGAAGTAATTAAAAAAAAAAAATTCTTACATGACCAGCAAATTCCATACCTATTACATTTACAATAGCCTTCAGGGCTCCAAGAATGCTGCCCAATACTTCGGGATACTCTTCACCCAAATATTCATACAGCACAACACCCAAGTGCCCCATCAACTTTTCCTATAACCGAAGAGAAATGTTAAAACGTCACTATTTATGTCAGGCTGCTCAGAGAAGAAGTAGGAACATGGTAGGAAAGCTCACCTCCTGACAAGTCTTCATGACCACAGCAGTACGAGAGATCAAATCCGCTGCCTGCTGCCTGACTTTGGCAGATTTGTTGTTTAAACGCCACAGAACTGTACCGCAGATCTGAGGCAAGTACGGTTTGACTCGTTTCCCAAGTGCATTGACCACTGTGCCAAAGCCATTCAACATCACAGAGTCCTACAAAAGAAGAGCAAAGTTGTATTTTAAAAAAATCAGAGAGGGCTGGGGATTTGGCAATGTGTCTGCCTCACAAGTGCAAGGTCCTGAGTTTGATCCCTGGTAGCCCCCCCCCCCAAAAAAAAGGAAAAAAAAAAAAAAAAAGAACCAGAACTGTTTCTTCGCAACTGACAAGTAATACAGAGCAATATTCAACTTCTTCCAACCACCCAATTTTTTTTTTTAAACATCAAATCCAAAACGTGGGGCAAAAGAACATTTGATAAACAACCGAGAACATACATGTTTTTAAAATTATTCCCAATTTAATTACTTTTTAGGGAAATTTACTTTAAATTTGTAGGTTTTTCTACAGATATGAAAGTCATGGCAATATGCCATACTAATTACCTCTGTTGTCTGTTCTTGGAAAGCATAAAGAATACCATCAATCAGTTGTTCTTCAAGTTTGTGATCAATATCGGCTGCTCCCAGGTTGCCCATAATTTTCTCAATTGTTTCCATCACCATTTTTCGGTACTGCTCAGCTTCATCTTTCAGATCGTCCACAATCCTGGATATGATTTCTGCCGCACCTACTTTGTTTGCTAACTCCACAGTGGTATCAACTAACTACAGGGGCAAAACAAAGACCTTTAAATCGATGGCTTCCCCAAAGAAGTTAAATAACATCATGAAAACCTAATATTCTACACGTACTGCTTGGCTAGTGAACATGTTGAGAAAGGAAAATTTCTAATTAGCAAACTTTAAGAAAAAGCGACTAGAAAATTTAAATGAGCCTAGGACAAGCTGAGAGAACACTGAACTGATGAAGACATGGACTCTGCAGGCCACAGCAGTGTACACCTGCAAGCCCAGCTACTCAGCATCATGGGCAGGAGGATGGCAAGGTGACCCCAGCCTCTAGACAATTCAGTAGGACTCCTATCTCAAAACAAATTTTTTAAAAGGCTGGGATATAGTTCATTGACAGAACACTTGCTCACCACCCTGGGGGGTTCACTGTCCAGTGCCATCAAAAAATAAGCAAAATAAATAAAAATCAATTCCCATTTGAGTACTTATTCTATATGTAAAATCAAATGAAAGTTAACTACATGATGAAAACCCAATTCCTGTCACAGTCAAACATATACAAATGGTGAGATAATGGAAGAGAAGTTAGTGAAAATCATCTAAAAACATTTGTTAACAACAAAACTTTACCTGTCGGTAATTTCTTCTATCCAAAGCCATTCTGTGCTGCCAGAAGTGTTTAAAGAAAGGAGGAAGAATCTCTGTTTTAATGTAGTTTGCTTCTACACCATCTGTTCCACAACACTGTTTTACTACCTAAAGGTCAAAACCAGGAATCAAACACAGTACTGATATGACATACTAATGAAACTAAAATTTAAAAAGTACAATTCTCTTTGTATCATGAAACAAACCCAGTTGAGCTGAAGTTAACAAATATGTAACAACGTGGAACAATTACCTTCAGCACGATTTTCTTCATTTCTTCATCGGGAGACTGGAATTCTCGAATAAGGATTAACATCACTTCTCGGGTATAGTAGTTGGCATATTCTGCATCCATGAGAGGGATAAGATACCCAATAGCCTTTAAGAAAGCAGCCAAACCCTGTTTTCCAATTTAAAAAAAAAATCAGAAAATCAGATTTGTGCTGCCTTAACGCTAATGGTTAGAAATTCGAGCTCGGCATGTGGCTGGCGTCTCACCTTTCCTCGGTGCTGGCGGATACCCTTCCACAGGGGCTTCAGCACTGAATCAAAAGATTCGATACCATAAGGAGTCGCTGCTTCAGCCAAGGCAGCAATGGCCAGCGCACTGATGGTCCGAACTTTCTGCTGCTCATCCACGAGACCTATGAAACCAAACACAGGCTTTATCTAGGTACTAAAACACTACCTGGTCTCCACAGTCTCAACCAGACTCTAGCAGTTACACCTAACCATTTAGGCAGACTGCAGAATCTACTCACACGAGATAAAACTGGGCAGAAAACAGTAGGAGCCAGTCTGTGGACAATATCACAAACCCTATTATAAAAATATAAGGTGTCTGTGTAGTTAAGCCCATCCACTTATCTCCCTAATTCCACAGCCCAAATTTCAGGACAACCATCTTAGAAAAGACAACTCACCATGCTCAATGATTTCAACTAAGCTTCTGAGATGTGGCAGGATGGCACAGCCCATGAGAATAGCTATCTGCTGTACAATCTTAATACCCGTGTGTCTGGCTTGCCAAGACTTCTTGCTTTTGCACACAGCTTTTAAGAATGGCAATAAGGAAGGAATGCCGAGGGCCGAGGCTACAACAGCAAAGGCTCGAGCTGTCGTGTTACGGACGTACTCGTCCATGTTGTCTATGTCAGGTCTCATGGTGGAGATCATAGTAGCCAGACCAGCAGCCTAAGGGGAAAAGAGAAAAGCTCCTAATATCACCTTTCAGCCATGACTTTCTATACTCAAATAATCCCATCAATAGATTCAATCTCTCTTCCCTAGAAACTGCATGTGAATACCTTTGCCAAATTAGAAATGATCTCTCGGCCTTCCACTCTGGCATAGTAATCTTCATCAATTAACAGCGGTTCAATGACCACAAGAATCTGAAAAATAAAAAACAAAGAGGAGCAGCTAATCTTTCACATCAATTACTGATGTCACATTCAGGCAAAAAAGAAATGTAAAGTTACCAGGACTCTGTTAATCAAGGGAGAAATTAAAAATTTTCAATTATATAATGTCAAACCCCTGATACAAATGAAAATTTGAGTGAACTGTTAACCACACAGACCAACAAACATTTAGCACTTTTTAAACAGAAAACAGGCATGGTGGTGCATACCTGTAATCCCAGCTACTGGACAGACCAAGGGAGGATTGTAATCTCTAGGCCTGCACTTTCAACTTGGTGAGGCCTTATTTATCTAGGCCTGCACTTTCAACTTGGTGAGGCCTTATCTCAAAATAAAATTTTAAAAGGGGACTTGCCTAGCATTGTTAGTTTTGTCTGTCTTTTTTGGTACCGGGGATTGAACTCAGGACCTTGCACTTTTGAGGCAGGCTGCAGAACCACTGAGCTAAATCCCCGGCCCTTGCCTAGCATTTGTGAAGCCTAGGGTTCAATCCTCAGCGAAGAAAGAAAAACAATTTACAACTGCTATTACCAAGACAGTTCCTATTCTCATCCCAATGTCAGTAAAAAATATGAACAAAAAATATGAACTTATTATGGTAAAAATGGCAGAAAGACACATCTACATAAACCTGCATTTGTACATGTGATGTTTGTGTCTGCAGACAAGTAAACTTAACCCTGGTCCACTGAGCACTTTGCAGTGAAGTGCAGGGGTGAACTTTCCTTTCTACTGTGAATGTACAGAATGTGCTTATTTAAAAGAATTTTTAAATTTCAGGAATACAGAAACTGGTCAAAAAAATCAAATTCCTAAATTCCTTCTATATTAAAAACTAAAACCATTAGAGACAACACTTAAGACAAAAAACAAACAAAAAATACTTGACAACAAACCTTGTGCACATACGGCCGTACTAAGTCATCTAGTTTGTACAATATCCTATCAATGACTTTCACAAGCAAATGGCGCTCCTGGTCCTCAAGTGTAGGAGACATCAGCAGGGGAAGAATCTGATTAAACAGAGGCCCAGCTCCAAACTCCCTCGCTTTATCAGTGATCTGGCGCAATGCAGCCTGAGGAAAAACAGTGAAGGGAGAAAATTCTTTGCAATCAAGCATCTGTGAAAGAGCAAATTACTCCAGGAAGATTCTGAGTAACTTCATATTTCAATGTATACTTTGGCAGACACTTTACACAGCAGCACGAGGACTCCAGAGTTAGAACCACGTGACAAAGGGGCAGCTGAGCACTGCGGGACACAGTGTCTACAATATACCTAACATCCTTCACAGGACCGGCCAGCTTTATGTCATGCACAGTGCTAACACAATTCCTCACAGAATCCACTCATTACTTTCAAGCCTTACACATACTGGCCTCAAAAACAAATATAAGAGTTTTCTTTTTCTGTATCCTTAGTAGTACAAAATTTTTGATACAGAAAACTAAACCTTCATACTATCTTATCTTTCCCTGATCCCATGCCCTTGATAAAGATTAAGAGAACTTAAAATTTCCAAACAAAAATATAACCAACATAATGACTTAAGCTGATACTTGCCTTTCTCATTGGAGGTGTTCCATTCTTAATCTTTAAAAGTAGCTTCATTATTTTTCTCTCTTTTTGCTCTTCTGGACTAAGTGTTGATTCATCAACATCAACCTACAGTAAAAAAAAAAAAAATTTTAAAGGTATGTAAAGATGCTATAATTTTAACTCTCAAAATACAGTAATTCATTTTTCCTATTATCACTTACCAAGAGTTTATCAAAGTACTGAATATCATCAGGTTTTAAAAATGGAAGATTTCCAGAAGGCTGGTCATTGACACTTTTCATAGTTCTGTCTTCTGTCTGCATGTGGAAACCAGTCATTCCACCTAATGGTGTTGGAGTTGCTGTCAGCTTCCGGGCCGGGGTTCGAATGGGAACATAACCAGCTGGAGGTGGAAGTACCTAACAGAGTTGAAACACAGTTTTGCATTTTCTTGACTTTATAAATTGCAGAACGTAACGAGTAGTATTTATACTTAAAACAGTTTACAGCTTATTCTCTAGGAAATGTTTTAACTACCTGAAGAAAAAACACCTATCCTATTGTTCTACCTTAATCAGAAGTTTAAAATATTTATGAGAAATATTCATACTCCTTATCTGCTAGTTAGAATTTAAGTATATAAGGAGTGTGGGGAAATATGGAAATATATGTGGCAGGCCTATAAAATTCTGATCATTTTAAAACAATCTGTACAAACATGTTGGTAACCCACCATGACAAATTAAAATTTGAAAATTATAAAGCCGGAATCAGTGATTTCCAAAACAGCTCTATTAGAGAAAATAAAATGTATAAGTTGGGCCGGGGATTTAGCTCAGTGGTTCCGCAGCCCACCTTGCAAGCGCAAGGACCAGAGTTCGATCCCTGGTCCCCCCCCCCCCGCAAAAATGTATAAGTATTCATATAAATAGAAATAAACTTACATGGTGCAAATAATGTGTAAAGGTTACATGTTTTAGTAATAAAATGAACACTGACATAAGCTACTGTACTAAAGACAAATCTGTATGTAAGTCGGAAATTCTAGAAGAGATAAATGCATAAACTAAAACCAAAATATTTATCAAAGGCTCGTAAAACACACATCACCTAATTAAACTGTTTGCAAAACAAGAAATTTTTTTTTTTTGTACGGAGCATTGAACCCAGGCCCTTGCGCTTGCACAGCAGGGGGCGAAACCACTGAGCTAAATCCCCAGCAATAATGAGGAATTTTTATAAAAATGTGGGGTAAAAACCAAATAAATAAATAAGAAAGAATTTGTTAAAAAGTTGGTAGGAGACTTTTTTAAAAATACAACTTCTTGGGCCGCGGATTTAGCTCAGTGGTTTCACCACTTGCTGCGCAAGCGCAAGGACCCGAGTTCGCTTCCTGGTACAAAAAAAAAAAAAAAAAACTTCTTGTTCTTGGGCAGGTCAATACGCCTAAGCAGGTGTTCTCCAATGAGCTTGAACTGTAGTGTCTAAAAATTCAACTACAGGGCCGGGGATTTAGCTCAGTGGTTTTGCCGCCTGCTACACAAGCGCAAAGACCCAAGTTTGAGCCCCAGTACCAAAAAATAAAAATAAAAAATAAATAAAACAATAAAAATTCAACTAGATCTAAGATTGCACTGTATTAAATATATATTGATGCTCTCTGTGTTGTGTCACCCTTTCTGTGCTGCTAGTCCGTACTGTGTCAGCATGGACCACTGACTAAGCTTTCTGAATAAACTGGAATTTATTCTCTGGGAGGCTGATGAAATCAGTGTCAATTACAGCAGCACCAGTCCACATTAAGAACTTTCAAGTCTAGGGCCGGGGATTTAGCTCAGTGGTTCTGGTGCCTGCCTCGAAAGCTCAAGGCCCCGAGTTCAATTCCTGGTACCAAAAAAAAAAAAGGAATTTCAAGTCTACTGTTTTTCAGCATTTACTTTGAAGAATTTTACTCATCAGTAGAGTTCACTAGAGAGAATTGTTCTTCCTACTGATACTAAAGCAATCAGTGACTACAACTGAAGAAGATACCCGGGCAGTATTCGTTAGGCTGTCTATACCCATAACGCTGTGTGGAGGTTCACAGTTTGAAAGCATATAATCACATCTGAAACAAACACTAGCACACACCTAACTGGAGAGGGGACAGGTACACACTGCGAACTATGAAAAAGCAGTGGTCACTGGAAAGACCAGACAGATGACAGGCTCCAGTCTTGGCTGTAACACTAGCTATATAACCAGAGAACCTTCATCAGCAAATATCCCCAGAGTGCCAGGTACTGAGAAAATTACAATTCAAACAACCTTCAGGGCTGAGAACATGGTTCACTGGCCCTTGCCTGGAGGCCCTGGTAAATGAAGCAAGCTATTCCACACTGCTAATGTGGAGGCTCCCCAAGGATGGCCCATACAATACCAGAAGTCCTTGAGATTTTTCACTTTCAAAAACTAGTAGATGCTTCACACTACTCATTTCATCTCTACTATTTTCTGGAATAGCTGAAACACATTTGGAAATACCTAAAGTATGGAGTGGCATTAGTAAATATGAGCAAGACCAATACACACTTGTACGTCAATTTTTTCAACAAAACTGAAAATTCATATCATCAATATCACCACACTGATATTCACTGGGACTACCTTGTATCCTTCTGGGAACATAGCATCCAATTCTTCATCAGAGAGTGGGCGGTTTCGCTCATCAATTTCTCTCTCCCACCTCCAAGCCTGAAGCTGTTCAGGGGTCATACTCATAATGTGACCTACCAAAACAACAAATGTCTGTAACAATTTACAGTATAAGGTACAGGTACTTGTGATATAACACAAGATCAACCCTAATATTTAATCACTTTCATTTTACAAATGCAAACTAAGACTAATTCTATGTTCTCTTATTCTTGTTAAAAGCTGTCATTGGGCCAGGGATTTAGCTCAGTGGCACCACGCCTGCCATGCAACCGCAAGGTCCTGAGTTCGATCCCCAGTATCAAAAAAACAAAAGCTGTCATTAATGGCATGCAGAAAACCACAAAGAAAAATTTCCAGGAGGAAACACCATTACTTGCAATGAGAGAGTTTCTACCTGGAGTTGGGGTGGCCATGTTCATGGCTGGGGTGCCAATGGGCGTCTTTCCAGGGGTCAGAACAGGAGTGCTTCCACCCATCTGACTGGCCGGGGTCTCATCCCATCGGGACTTTCTTTTACTGGCTCCAGGAGTCGGGGTCTCTCCAATTGAATCTCCACCTCGATCTGTTCGAGGAGTCTCAGCCCATCCACTTCCGTGCCCGGGAGTATCTTCAAAGAGAAAGGGCCAGAAAGACCAGTGTTAACCACTGTTAAAACAACATTGTTTACTTTCAGTTACACATCCAACCTCCCACATTCAGAAGCAGGGTATTCTTAAAACAGGGACACATTTAAAATTTTAATATTACCATTTGTCCTATTTTTTGTGTTGCTTTTCCACTGATTACAAAAACACATATGTATTGTTAACAGGAAAACAAAGTTATTTTTTCCCAATCATAAGATCACTATACAGAGGGAGGCACTCTTTGTGTCTTAAGCCACATTCTGCACTTCTGCACACAAATGGGAGAACTCTGCATGGATGATTCTGCACTGCCTCGTCCAGTGCACTGGTGCACTCCCCACGCCACTAACAAGTCTGCAAAACCGTCAAACAGCATATTCTACTACTCAATCTTAATTTGACACCGCTATCCTTGTAAACAGTTTGTGAAACTTATAATCATCTACACAAAAGACAAGCGCTTCGGCAAATTCAGCAACAGAACCTAGAAACAGAGGTTACCAGAAAATGAAGGGGGAAGAATGGGCGGCTCAGCAGATGCAGAATTTCACTGGGTAAGGAGAAGGTCCTAGAAACGAACACTGGGGGTGGGTGCACAACACAGAGGGGACTGTGGGTAAAAACAATTACCGCACTAACTGCTATGCCCGGTATATTTAACCACAATGAAAAACAAAAGGTTATGATCTACAGACTAACTTCTCCTAAAATTCCTCATGAAATACACCTTAAACCTCTTCGAGAAGGGGAAAAAATGAGGCCTATAATCTGCTCAGCTCTGTCTCCCGGCAGCTGGCTACACTGCCTAGGTCAGTCCTGCACCCTCACAGGCATCCCGACTCCCAGACTCCCAACATACCTCTCTCAGTTTTGGGGGTCTCGTCCCATCTGTTTTTACGAGCGCTAGAAGTCGCGCCTCCATGGCCCGGGGTCGCATGGCCAGGTGTGTCGCCTCGGCCAGGAGTAGCAGCTCCGGCAGGTGTGTGACTTGGCGTGGGATCCCAAATTTTTGAGCCAGGGGTTGCTCCAGGGGTTTCGCTTCCTTTTGCACGACCTGGTGTCTCATCCCATCTTAAAGATGGGGTATGCCCAGGGGTCTAAACAGAGGCAAAAAAATTATTTCATACACCTACACAACCAGAGAAATACCTGTATCTGTTAAACAAAAACATTAAACAAATTAATGTTTTTACTTCTAGTCTCTATACAATCCTTCTGCTTAAAAGACATTCTTCTTAACACACATATTTTACGATCAAAGATACAAGTTTTAATACAGAAGTGAAAAAAAAGTCCTAGATTAAAAAAAAAAATGGGTATGAATCCTGGATATGCCACTAATATCTGCCTTAGGGAGAAAAAAAAAACTCTAAAGTTTTTCTATCTAGACCAGCAATGGAAGACATCCAGCTTCAATTACAGCAGCACTTCTCAACCTGAGGCTCCAACACACACCATTTAATAAGGGAGAAGGGATCCATTCATTCTAGGAAACACTTTTTATAGTTGTCCAATTGTGTGTGTTCAATAAATAACCATGCTTTGGATTGTCCAGACAACCTTTCAACCACCTCCTACCACAGGATTTCTTGAGAGAACTTTGTGTTTATCACCACACCTGTGCCAAGTGATACCGACACAAGTGGTGCTGGGAGACTGGTGGAGAAAAGCTCAGAGGTGGGCGTAAGGAACGTGCAAGGCACACAGCAGTTTGAGCAGACTGGAAGGTGATTGACGAAGTGTGTCAGTGTGTGATACAAAAGAATCTCCACAGTACACACAGTATCACTGTAAAGCAGATGATTTAGTATAAGCAAATCAAAATTCAGAATTAGACGCTATCCCTTAAGTAGTAAACAGGATTTACCACACTTTATGTATTTGTTTTAAAGTTGGATGCTCTTACAGACCATTGGTGGTGAACCCATGGCACACATGCCACAGCCAGCTGTTTGTTGTCACTGAAAGATCTAAAAGGTTCGCCATCATTATTATAGACCCAAGAACTCTACCTTGCTATCAGTTTGCAAAATACCATAAAAAACTAAGACTATGTTACTCAAGGTTGGGAAATTATGGATTAGGTAAGACCATAAACTGTTCAAACAGTTAATTTTGGCACTTGCCTCTGCTACTGGATTAGAGGAAAGGAGGGAATAAATCCTTCCTATTATGCATTGTTACCTCACAGCCACAACCAGAGTAAAGTTATGGTAACTGGGCAGCACGAAAGAAAACATGGTCTGACTTTCTAAAGCTCTAACAGGAAAGACTACGTCTTTTATTGTTGTTGTTGCTTGCTTTTTGTTTTTTGAAACAGCGTCTCACTATGTAGCTCAGGGTGGCCCTGAACTCAGCATATAGCCCAGGCTAGCCTCATACTCATAGGAATTCTCCTGCCTCAGCCTCCTGAGTGATAGGATTATAGGTACACTATGCCCAACTAATAAACTATTACATGTGGTTATCGTAATAATACAGTTAAACAATTACCAGCACAAGTTTATCTCGGTTTTTAAAACAGCACTGAATGCCGGCCACATGACTGAAGTTAGTAATTCACTACATTCAGCAGCACCCAGTTCTCATACGGATCAAATGGGGACTGAGATGTGTGACAAGGACATATTAGGGTTAACACAGCCCAATTCTGGGAGCAGGAAAACTGCCACTGTCTAATAGACCTTTTCTCACATGTAAATAAATCTGCATTAGTACTGACTAGAGCTAATACTGATTTAGACTGTGGTGGGAGAGACAAAGTCACACAGACCCTGATTATATTCACAGGTGACATCAACGACAGGTGCTGGCAGAAGGAATGGGGTGAGGAGAGCAGGTGAGGAGGGCCCGGATTGGCTAGGAAAGTCCAATGGCTCGCAGGGGAATGGAGCGCTAAGTACAGACAACTGGCCAATACTTTGTTCGAGAAACAACTGGTTTTAAAATGCTATTAAAACATCCAAGCAAGCATGTCAGGGTTGACAGACAGACAAGTCTGAGGAACAGAGCAGGAGGGCAGATTCCACAGCCTGGGAGTTGTCTTCCGCAGTCAGCGCAGAGACAGAAATGAGGTCCTAGGGAGGGAGTGCACACGGACGAGAGCCCCAAGGGCTGAGCGCCAGAGCACCCCAAAGCCCAGCGCTGCAGAAGAGGACCAGACAAACAAGAGCAAGGAGAGCAGCCAGGAAGGAGGGGGAGAGAGACTTAGGCCAGAGGCCGAGCAAGTAAAGGGCGTCCAGGAACACACGATGAGTGCTGAGTAGCAGGAGGGCTGAGCAGAAAGCAGACTTCTGGACTAAGCAACGAAAGTCCAGTGACCTCCAGGAGCTGCACAGGGAGAGTGAGGCCTAGATAAGCAGACAGCAGCCAGACAGCACACGCTGAGCATTTCCTGGTGTAGACAGAACAGGGTGGGAGCAGGAAGAGGACTCGAGCATCAAAGAGTGTTTCTGCCGAATGCCGCTTTTCCTTTAAAGAAAATGAATGGTCCCATGCAAGAGGGGCAGGAGAGTAGAACAGACACAGGCACACTGGGGACACAGAAGAGCTGTCTACTCGGGGAGAAATGGGGAGCAAAGTCATCAACTAAAGCTGAAGTGCTAAGGAGGGACAGCAGGTGTGACACGGGGCGGAGACGTCCTCTGGCTGGGAGGAGAACAGCGTCCTGCTTAGTGGCTGCAGTGCTTCTGTTCAGGGTGATGAAAAGTTCTGAAGAACAGCAGTGACAGATGGTCACACAACACTGACAGTGATTAATGCCACTTAATGGTTAAAGCGGCAGATTTTATGTAACATATATTTTGCCACAATAAATTTCTTTTTTTTAAAAAAAAGATTCCTCTGAGAGGGTAAAATAATACAGAGGAGTGTGACCTATTATCTATTTGCCAGCTGTGATGGGAGGCTTCCATTACCCACTAGAAAATGAGGAAGGCCACTACTTCGTGCTCAGCCTACACGAGGCAGCAAGGCCATGGGTTCAAAATGGTCCCGGGTGCGGACTGAGCCACCCCACCCATCCTGCGGAGGCGTGGCAGCTCTAACCCTGGTACAAGGCTGCATCTGGTGACAGGCCTGAGGGGAGGAGAGGGTGAAATGCAGTCCCCCAGTGGGACCTATTCTGGAATTACCAGTAGAGAGACACTTGAGGACACAGTGACACAATCACAGAGCTCCTGAAGCCAGAGGCCAGCCCTGAGGCACGCAGACCTGGACTTCGAACCTCCATACTGTGAGAAAATATCGTTCGGTCATTTAAGCCACCCAAGCACAGTAATAAATCCCATCACAGAGAAGAAATGTTTCAGCGATAGCAATAAAACATCAAAAGCAATCACCTCTGCCTGGTCCCAACTGGACAGCTTTTTGGGAGTGGCACCAGGAGTCTGGTCAGCAGTCTGATCCCAGCGCCGCTTTCGCTTTGAGGGAGGCTGGGACGCTGCCGCGCCATTGACGACTTTCAGCTCTCCAGCTTTAGCTTTCTCTGCTAGCTGTTGCCTAATTTCTCTCTGAAAAACATTTGGAAAAGCAGAAAATATTTACCTTTAAAATGCTTCCCACAAGCTTAAATATCACATTCCTTCTCTTATATGAGAAACCCAGAGTAAAGATAAAGAGCAAAATACAAGACGGATTACAGGAAGGAGGGAGACAGATCGTTCTCAAAGGGAAAGGGGGCCCCAAGATGGGGGCGAGGGGGGACAATGGAAGAACAAAGGAATTAAGGTGTGTTATGTACAGGTACCAGCCCCACACAAGGCATACAAACATCACGTACCCCACACAGGTACTGATAGACTAAAATAACAAAAAATGCTATAAAATTAAAAACAAAGAAAATTATACACCTAACAATAGTAAAAATAAATGAAATGCTTTCAGGGAGGGGTGCACAGCTCAGTGGTACAGAGTTTGCCTACTATGCCTGAGGGCTTGGGTTCAATCCCAACACCGGGGAAAACATGTTTCCAGGATGTTTTGATGTCGTTCACAGCATCATTTCCACTTACTGCCTTGCTTTATACTCCCCTCACTTTACTATGTCACTGGTGGTCCCATTTATTAGTTTCACTTTTCTGTATTTCTAGTTTCACACACAGAATTTTTTTAAAAAGGAATAACGTCTGCAGGCCAAAAGGATTTACTCAGAATTTCCAACCACATGCAGAATGTATCCTACAAAAGATTCTTTAAAGAATAGCGTGACCATTCAACTCTTCCCTACCACAACAGCCTTGGGAGCACACCATTAATCCTCCAAAGACTTGCCCACTGTCAGACAGATACATTCACACCCCTAAAGGGTCCTGGGCTACAAGAGGACTAGGAAGTTTCATTTTATAGGACTCAGAATTTGGAAAAAAGGTTCTTCCTCGACTTCATTTTTATTAATACTATTAAAACATTACTTGCATAGCAAATAGCAAAAAGAAAAAATTTCTTAGAAGTCTCTCAATTTCAACTTTCTTTACGTTCTTTCACAACCATTAAAACGACAGGTTCACACACCTCTTCCTTAGTCAAGTGCTGTTCTCGCATTACATCCATGTAAGTCCGAGCGTTCATTTTAGGGTCAGGGGTCTTCCCTCCTGCAGAAAAGAACAGCAACAGGACAAGGGCACGATAAATAAAAGGAAATCAGGTTCACCTGACTTCTCTCCCCTGCTCTAATATTGTTATTTGATAATCATTTAATTTATTTTTGATGGAAAACTTAGTAATTACACATCTTACTTTTTATTGAGTTTGCTGATCAATTTAACCTGTTTGAACACAAACATATCTACAGCAGTTTAAAACGATACTTTAATGCATATAAAGCAAGTGACAGCACAGCTTAGAGTCCAGAAGTGATGGGTCCTGGGTGGCTAGTCCGGAATACGTACACTTTCGTGCCTTTGTCTCCATCAGCAGTTCTGACTTCAAGCAGCAGAATAGAAGCCTAGAAAATTATCTCTTTACCATTAGTAACACTTTGGAAAGATGTTTATATGCAAAACATTACCTGTTGCAAGCTGTTAAAATCCTGACTACAAATAACTCTGACTAATAAGTTCTTAGGTGATCTAAAACAGCTGTACTTTAGAAAATCTCATTTTTAAAAACATACCTATCATCATGCTCTGATGTCATGTTACTAAAAAAGGGCTTCATGCTTTTTAAAGATTTGATGACCCAGAAACATATTTTTATTTCTTAGAAAGTATAAATTACATCTGGAAACATATAACTTTTAATATATTACTTCTACATTATCATGACGAAAGCAGAAGAAAAGTGGTGTACAAAGAGATGTGTCAGTCTCTCGGTTAAAGTTTTAGTATTTGCACTGCAAACTTCAAAATATCTTAAAGAAGCCCAAAGAGTATATAACAAGATTCACAGAGGCACATTATGCTTTAGAATCAGATAATTAGCTATACAAGTAGTATAGCATTGAAATTCAGGGAAAAAAATATCATAAAACTCTAAGACACTTCCTACGCTGACGATCATGCCCAATTGGCAGTGTCATTCTTTCTGACACTAGCTCTGCTAAGACTTCCTTTGGGATACTTTTTCACCATAATCTAGAGAGGATGTGTTGAGCTGCACCCTTAAGAATGCAGACAGGACTGGCATATAGCAGTACTGCTGTAGGAAAGAAATTAAGGACAGTTAGTATGGGCCTGTGAATTCTGACATACATGTTTAAATCAATTACAATTATGCAAGTAAAAAAAAGAATATCCCTACTAATTCATGCAGGCTGAAAGTCTAGCTCATAAACCTGCAGCAGAATCTAACTCTAAGAAACAGGCACCTCGTTCTGTGAAGCTCACTCACCTGAGGAAGCTTCCATCAGCCTCACTATGCCCCTGGTGCTGACTCGCACACTACAATTAGCGAAACAGACTCCAACTATGAGAATAGCAAAGTCTTTGGATACACACTTTTAACTTAAAGTATGCTCAGAGCAAAGGAGGTGCATTTACTAAGCTACATTTAGAACAATACGGGGAGAGCTCTAGTGTGAGAAATAGTTTCTCCAAAGTAACAGTCCTAAAACTCTAGATTTCGGAATGAAAACTTTCAATAATTTGAAAGTATTTTGAGCAGAAAAGCACATTTGTTCAACATATAGAAAGAGTACCCAAAACAAAAGTAAAAGAAAAACCTTTAACCCTTTGCGTTTCTATGGCATTGGCTCATTAGTTTCTTGTCCTTCTACCTGGAAAGAAAACTTGCATTATAAAGATGAAGAATATGGCATCTGTGACTTCAACCAAATCTCTACAAATCTCTAATAAAGGGGACTTTAAAAAGAAAAGCAAATCCATAAGCATGCCAAAAAAAATCAAAGGGCTAAAGACAATGCAAATAAATTCTGAGCATGTAAAGAAAAGCTGGAAAGAATTACCATCTGCAAAAGGGTCGAGACGCTCTGGGGAAATGATCATGGTCCGCCTGTGCTTTTTGTATTCATCTTCCCGGTCTGCAATCTTTGGAGGCCGGTGCTCAGCAAACGGGTCATACTGCAAACAGACACATCTCCTTTAGTGGACAGGTCATTACATAACTAAGCAGGGCACCGTGACCACAACCCAGCCCACTGGGGAAACACACACACAGTTAACACAGCCTACCACTAAGCCAAACATTCGGATTCGCCTGATGGATGAATGTTAACGTGAAAGAACGAGGCAAACGAAGATGAGACGATCCATATGTCCACATTCTCACACCGAATGACTACTTTTCCAAAATAAATTATTTCTAATTCTCCCAAATCAATTCTTCTCAAACCATTCCAGAAACTGGTTTCTAAAATTTATGGACTTCCACAGGAGCTCAGACATTCACTGATGATTAGCTAAACTATGGTTTAATAAAAGAAAAGGCACCTGTTCTGTTGACTGTGGGATATCATTAAGCAATGCCACGGGGGCATGGTACCCTGGCTTCTTCTGGCCAAGCAAGCTCGTCGATGATGAGTAGTCATCGTCATCCTGCAATGAAAACCCCCAAGCCACAAAAAATGTCATCAGTTAGAACTTTGCAAGAAGAAATTTCTACTTTGAATGTGACAACTACAAATACTGTTTTGCTTGTTTTTGCCACATATATTTTTAAATATGATTTAACAACCAAAGAGTGAATTGAGAATCTGCTCTGTTTAAACAGAGCAACGTCACATACTGTGACTTTTCCAGTGTCAAAAGTGCAATGCTGAGAAGCCCTCACTCCTCTCATATCTAAGACTAAAGGACAACCCCAGCCACCACCAACTTTTACCACAAGGGCACGAGTACCCAAAGTGCTAGTGCCCTTGGCTTCTAGAAATTCCACCGTTGAGATTTTTCAACTCTTCTCAAGGAAAAACAAAATGCCAACTGTGAAGTAAAATGATTTGAATTTCATAAAAATAACAACCCTGATTATATACATAGTTTGTTACTGAATCAAACAACTGTTAGAAATTTCATCTAATTTGATGTTTGGGGTGGTCAGATAAAACATGAAATATGCAAAAAAACACTTTGAGGTTATATTTAAAAATGAAAAGCAACTGTCTTCCACGGTAACTAAAACATACAAAAAGCTCATGAAAAGAAACACCAAGAAAAATTCCATTCATATAAAGATGCCAAAGGGTGCAAAATAAACAGTATCAAGTATAATTCACACTGGTTAGGCACAATGGCATGTGCTTATAGTCTTAGGTAGGCAAGAGAATCTCAAATCTGAAGCCAGCCTGAGCAACACAGCCAGTCCCTGTATCTTATTTTTAAAAAGAAGCAAATAAAAAAAATGGGGCACTAGTGGCTCAGGCAGGAAGATCATCCCACATTCAAGGACAACCTGGGCTACAGTGAGTTCAAGGCCAGCATGAACCATATAACGAGGCCTTGTCTCCAATTAATCAATCAGGGAAAAAAAGGGAGAAGGGAAGGAAGGCAAAGGAAAGGAAAGAATCACAGGACAGACAGGTGGCTATTCATAAATCCAGTCACTTCTTACCTGGTTACTCTACCCCAGTGATGGTGAACATTTTAGTGAACCTTTCAATGATACAAACAACCCACTGTGGCACGCATGCCATAGGTTCGCCACCATTGATCTGGACTGAGCACTAAGTTGAGGCATTTACATTAGAATGATCTGCAGTTGCTCTGCTAGATAAACTAGTCTTCAACATAAAGATTCAGAACTGTGTACCTTGAGGGAAGCTTCTGAACCTTAGAAAGGAAGGATACTTCATCATTTCAGCTCCTGAAGGATCTCCCAAACCTAAAATACAATACTCTCTCCAGATTAAGCTAGGCAGATCCATCAGAAAATTCCTGTTTCTTCCTTTCTCTATTAAGGGTAGGGAGGGAGAAAGGAGAAAGGAGAGAGAAAAGCACAGCAAAACTAAGCTAACCTTGTCTATCATGCAATTTGTAACTTACATCTTCAAGTTCAGTGGCAGCAATTGATGTGACATAGCCAGCAAATCTGCTGTCGCTTCCACCGTAAATCTCCTGGTCGTAGTAGCCTGTGGAATCAAGGCCCACTCCTTGTGCTTCATCAAGAGCTGCCTTCTTGCCTTGAATCTCTCGAATCTGTGCTTCAATATCTGTGAGAAGCAATACAAAATGCCTTCATTTCATTACACAATTCATTGCATTTCTCTACTAGCTATTATCAAAATAATCTTCTAAATTAAAAAAATTTAACTGTACCATCTAAGAGATTAATAGAACTCTACTACAAGCACATACACCTCCTCACCTCAACAGGCAATAGTAATACAAAAAGGCACTGCTTACTGTCTCAAAGGCCAATCACCGTCACCTGTAGAATGCACCCCAAAATCTATATCCTGATGAATTTCAAACCTTGCCAACTGAAAAATTAATACTGTGGATGCTAATTAGGAACCTAGAACAACATTCAAGAGTATTTCACCTCAACAGTGCCAGAAAAGTAAAAGCCAACAGTAAGGAGCCAGGTGCAGTGCACTTTATCAGTGGTCCAGCTCCTTGGGAGGCTAAGCCAAGATCAGTAGGGTCCACGAGTTCACAGCCAGCCTGGGCAACACAAATGCATCTCCAAAAAAAAAAAAAAAAACACCACAAAAACAGTATCCAGACAGTGGTTCTGATCCGTGGTCTGCAGCAGCTCCCCCGCAGACTCTGTGACAAGGTAGGCCAGCTTGGCGCTGCATCCTTACATCCTCCTTTAGGTGAGGTCTTGGTCAGGGTAGACCCCACTCTCAACAGCACAGGACAGAGGATGAAATTCAGAGCTGCTGTGGTTTGAACTCAGTCTCCGCCAAAAGGTTCCTGTGTTGCTGAGCATGCTGGCACATGCCTCTGCAGCACTCGGGAGGCTGAGGTAGGAGGATCCTTGCAAGTTCGAGGCCCCCCTGGGCAACATAGTGAGTTCAAGGTCAGCTTGAATTATACAGCCAGACCCTGTCTCAAAAAACCAAAAAGGCTGCGTGCTGGAAGCCTAGTCTCCAATGCAGCTGTGCCCAGGTGGTGGAACCCTTACAATGAGAGGTAGTGGAAAGTGACCAAGGTAGCACTGCCCTTAGACTGGGCTCACAAAATGGATTAATTCTCCAGTCTGTTTTACAACATAAAAACTTTTGAGACTAAACGATAATGAACACAAAATACTTAAATGAATTAACTCTTGCCATATTTCATCTTGTAAGCACATCTGGTGAATGAATCAACTCTTGAAAATATTTCCCAAACCTCCCAATGTCGAGTTATTTGTTGCATGCTGGAGTGGAACGAAGGGCCTTGCAGTCCCACCTTCAATTTTTAACTCTGAAAACCTTCAAAACTAAAAGGTCTCAATAGTACAAACACCCATATATGCAGTGTGATCAAAAATATGGTGAATATTTCTTAAAATTTTATTGCAGTAAGATGCATTCCCATTAATCCTGCTCAAAACACTCCCCCACACTTTTAACACATTTATGTCATGGCTCCTGCCACTTTCTACAGCATTTCTGGAAGTCCTTTTTCATGACTGTATTTTCATGACTGTCTAGATGTCCTGAATTAATTCAAAACATTTACAACAATTTCTTTCAAAAACCTTTATAGTGCAGCCTCATCGACCTTATTCACCAGATCTGGCAATGCATGACTTCCGATTCTTCCCCAAAGTGCAAATGACCAAGAAAGGTAAAGGTTTTTAATTGATTCAGGGCATTCAGACAGCTGCTTCAGCACAACTACAGACAATTGTGAAAGAAAATGTCCAGGACAGGTCTTTAAGTGGCAAGGATGATGGGCTAAGTGGATGAGGAGCAGGTATTTGGAGGGGGACTAATGTCAATGTTGTCTTCTACTTTAGCAAATTCTCTTGGGAGGAAGGGGATGAAAAAAGGAATTAAGATGTATTATGTACTGGTACCAACTCCCCACAAGGAATGCAAGCATTATGTACTACAAATACGTACTCTAATAAAAGAAAAAGGTTCTCCTTTAAAATCAAATCACCAGTTTTCAATCACACTTCAGATGTAGTCTGAAGCAGAGGTAGGCCACATTTCCCCATAAGAAAAAAGGATATAAAAATCACCATTTCAAAAATCAATAGCTTTTCTATATAGCTAGCTGAGAAAGAAACCAGGGAAACAATTCCATTCATAATAGCTTTTAAGAAAAACTCTAGGACACCTAACAAAGGAGATCAAAGACCGCTACAATGAAAATTAAAGAACTCTAATGAAAGAAACTCAAGCAGACACTAGAAGACGCAAAGTCCTCCATGCTTGGGATCAGCAGGATTAATATTGTTAAAATGGCCATATTACCAAAAGTAATCTACAGATTCACTGCAACCCCCATCAAAATTCCAATGGAAAAAACAAACCTAGAATTCATATGAAAACACAAATGACCAGGAGAGCCAAAGCAGCTCTGAGCAACAAGAGCAACGCTGGAGGCATCACAATACCTGACTTCAAAGGATACTAGAAAGCCACGGTGACGCAAACAGCCTGGGACCAGCACAAAAGCAAACACGGAGAACAACGGAATAGAACTGAAGTCACAGAGACAAACCCACACAACCACAGCCATCTGACTGTGGACAAAGGAGCCAAAAACACACACTGGAGGAACGACAGCCTCTTGGACGAATGGTGCTGGGAAAACTGATATCCACAGGTAGAAGAGTCAAACTAGAGCCTTCTCTTATCATGTACAAAAATCAATTCAAAATGGATCAAAGACCTAGGCGTAAGACCTGAAACTTTTGAAACCACTAGAAGAAAACACAGGAGAAACATTTGAAGCCATGGGCACAGGCAAAGACTTCCTATTTAGGACTCTATCAAACTAAAAGACTTCTGTACAGCAAGGGATACAATCAACAGAGTGAGGAGATAACCTACAAAATG